CTGGAAACGATCAAGGTTCAAGTCTCCTTCAGAGAATGGATATTCAAAGTCTACAAAACCATCAAGTCTGATATGCAATTTGCCGTAGATGACTATCCAGACTCTGCTGTGGATTAATCTCTTGTAATAGTATAGGCCTGCTCATTATTTTCAATTCGTTCATTTATGTAATTCTTTTTCAGAKGATGAGTTTAATCTCCTCTTGTATTCTTTCATTAGTCAATTCTTGCACCCTTTTGTCCAAATTTACTTTTTCACACTTAGGGAGAGATTGTTAGCGCTATTATTCATCTCTTGTAATAGTATAGGCCTGCCCAATATTTTCAATTTGTTCATTTATGTAATTCTTTTTCAGATGATGAGTTTAATCTCCTCTAGTATTTTTTCCATTAGTCATTTCTTGTACTCATTTGTCCAAATTTACTTTTTCATACCTAGGGAGAGATTGTTAGCTTCATTATTCATCTCTTGTAAAAGTATAGAAAAAGTATTCTGCAAGTCTTGACAGAAGGTTATCCTCCACAGAAGACAACAGAGGACTAACGACAGAAGCCTTTTATTCGAGCAAGTAAAGTGTGACAGAACCTCTGATGTCTCTCACAGAGGTTCTGGAAAATGGTCCTCTGTCAATAAGATCATGCAAGTCATTAACAGTAGAGCCTCTGAGATGGCTCACAGAGGGTCTGTGGATTTCGTCTTCTGCGAAGATCCTCTTCCAACTGTTTTCGAAGGTTGTTAGCTGCATGTGCTTCTCACGTGACTAGGACTTAATCGACTTAATTTGGACGGCTTAGATGATTTCACGCGTCAAGATCTTGTCAGTATAGTCGTTAGGAACTAGTATAAATAGCGGCTAAGGCCTTTGTAATCAGTGTGCTTCCGAATTGTAATCGTCTAATTTTTCAATTGAATGAATTGAAAAACCTTTGAAGCAATTCTCCTATGTTCATCTTCTTCCTCATCTTGACTGTGTGTTCTTGGTTTATTTACTCTGTTTTGTTCTTAATATTGTTTCCGCTGTACTTTAATCGTCTTAGAGTTCATTCAGAGTATTAGATCAATATCAAAGCTGAATTTAAGGTCCAACACTTTCTGACCCACACAAATGTCGTTTCCAAAGAGGATATGTTTTTACAATTAGGAACACGGTGATTTATTGGAAACCTACCAAGTAAACCCTTATAGCTACCTCCTCGAACCATTTAGAGATTATTGCTCTACATGAGGCGGTTTGAGAGTCTATATGGCCAAAGTTTGTCATTACACATATAAGAGGGGCTAGTGGTTTGAGTTTAACCACTTAAAATCCTACATGCATATATGAAGATAATGCAGCTTGTATCGAACAAATGAAAGTAAGATATGTCAAGGGTGATAATGCAAAACATATTTCGCCAAAGTTTTTCTATAATCAACAACAACAAACTCTTCTTAAGATTCAAGTGAATCAAGTAAGGTCTGAGGAGAATGTGGCTGATTTGTTTACCAAATCATTGCCTAAGGCCACATTTGAAAAACATGTGGAAAACATTGGAGTGCAGAGACTTTCCAAACTTCATATATTAGTGTATGTATCAGGGGGAGTAGTAGACAAAAAGAGGAGTCTACTATATATGTGATATTATATGTTGTGCTCTTTCTTTCACCCAATGGTTTATTTTCCCATTCGGTTTTGTTCCATGGTGTAAGGTTTTAGTGAGGCAATAACTTATATACTATATTCCTTTCCTAACACTCATGATTAATATATGAATCTGAAAGAATATTAGACCAAAGGAAAAGTCTATATATTGCAAAGAAACTGGTGCGTTGTACTTTTTCCATCGTCCTAATTTTATTTTTCCCACTAGGTTTTTATTTTGGCGTAAGGTTTTAACAAGGCAACAGTTGTGCACCATCACTCCTATGACACGACATAAGGTTGGAATGTTGTAGGATAAGTGTGTCATTATCTAAATGATATGACGATAGAGATAGAAAAAGATATATCAGAATTAGATTAGAAGTGAAATATCTCGTACTTATGTACTTGTAACTCATCCCTATAAAAAATGATTATGATTAATGAGAATTACATATTTTTCTCTATATTCTATTTTTGTTCCTTTTAAGTTATTCTATAACAATAAGCTACTTTTTACCCATTTAAACAGGCTTAAAGCATATCCAACAGGTATGCTAAAATTCTTCTACAACAGAGTATAAGAAATCCAAATATCTGAAAAATTTACATCCAACTCCAACAACTATTCTATTTTAGCAATTATAGCATTAACTATATTAATAAAATATTACTCCTCTCTTTTACACATTTTATTTCAATAAATTTAATTGGTTGAATAAGATTAAAATATTGCTTTTCTCTCTTCTCTAAAATTTTAGAGATTTCTCTAAAATTTTAGAGATTTCTCTAAATTTAGAGGTTTTTACAATATTTCTCATCTTTTCTCAATTTTAGCATTGAGGATAGTGTAGCTTTTGGAGCAACAAAAATTTTAAAATCTCAGTTTTCTCTATTTTAGCATAGCTGTTATGGATGCTCTTATAAACGAATTTATGTTTGTCAAACATGGCCAAAAAATGATGTTTTTGCATGCAATTTGTCCCTTTAATTTTGTGTTTCATTATTCTTCTTTGATCTACTACAAAATTGGCATTTTTTCCTTGCACTTTATGATATGCATGATTCACATTTGTTTTAGGTTCGTTTGCAGAACGTTACCAAGTAAGTGCTTATCAATAACAGAACATCCTCACTTACCTTGTTATTAACATTCTTGACCATCAAAAAAGATTTTTGGTAAGCGTCTTTTATCCGGCGAGCACTTACTGAATAAGATTTTTGGATCTTGCTAATGCCTCTTACATTGTAAGATTCTCTGTCATATATTGCCAAGTTCACTCAGCAACGTAACATATATTGCCAAGTTCACTCAGCAACGTAAGTGACGCCAGATAAACACTTAATTTATAAGAATTTAGTAAACAACCTTTAGTATTTAACTGGATTATGGAGGGTCATAATTGACATCATATATATATATATATGGGTTTAATGTTCCTCATTTCGTAATAATAATGGCAAGTTACGAATAAGATGCATTTGATATTTCTCACAACGTTTTTCTGCAAATTAGGACGGGAAGAAATAGATTCTTAATTTGTCAAACAATTCAACAAAGAAATGACAAACTATCGATGTGTTTACCAAAGAATATATGACCAAATCCATACGGCTACATACAATATATTTATATCATCTCTTATTCAAAAGCATATTATTGGCGGTAGGACGGCTGTGTATATATATATATATTAATTATTCCCAGTGGTATGCTATAAAAGCAATAAAGAACCAGACTTGTTTACCAATCCATTTCTGTAATCATCTCCTTCATTATCTTCCATCTGATCAAACAATCTAACATTAATTATACACACACACACACATACATACATACATACATACATACATATATATATGGCTTCTTCTCATATTCTTTTTGTTGGGCTTATGATGATAACTTGTTCTATTGCGTTGGCATCTGACAGTAGCCCTCTTCAAGATTTCTGTGTTGCCGACTCCAAAGGCCCAGGTTACTAATTATTTCAATTCCTTTGAATTGATTGGATTTTGCTATAGTTTTGAACTTAAATGTGCCAAGTGTTTTTTTGTTTGTTTTCATAGTGCTAGTAAACGGTTTTGCTTGCAAAGATGCAAAGCTAGTACAGGCAAGCGATTTCTTTTTTAGTGGATTACACTTGGTGGGAAACACCTCCAATGCCGTAGGATCTCGAGTCACTCCGGTCACCGTTGGCCAACTACCAGGTCTCAATACTCTTGGTATCTCCATGGCTCGTATTGACTTTGCTCCTTGGGGTATTAATCCTCCTCACACACATCCTCGAGCTACTGAAATCTTGACCGTCATTCAAGGCAGTATCCAAGTTGGGTTTGTCACATCCAACCCTGAAAACCGTCTAATCAACAAAGTACTGCAGAAGGGTGATGTTTTTGTTTTCCCCGAAGGTCTGGTTCACTTTCAGAGAAATGTTGGCCATGGCAATGCTATTGCCATTGTCGGCCTAAGCAGCCAAAACCCAGGGGTTATTACGGTTGCAAATGCTGTTTTTGGTGCAAAACCTGATATTCCAAATGATCTTTTGGCAAAGGCTTTTCAGGTGGAAGTAAACGTGGTCGATCAAATTCAGTCGAAATTCTAGACTCTAATTAATTAATTAAAGGTCTTTGAGCACCGTATGTGTTAAGGAAACTCGATCTTTATCCAATTTCTTTGTTTTAGAACGACAATTAAGATTTCATTCGTTATTTGTAATTTCTGATTTTTGACATGTTTGGTTTGCTTTGTTTTCAAACTTCATTAAAGGAAGAATGAATTTATTGTTATTGATCATCTTCGTCGCTTTTCGAGTTCCCTAATGAATATTAAACATGAATGCATTCCGGTTTTGGGGATGTTTTATGAGCACACTAGTGTTCTGCACCGCGCGTTGTGCGGTGGCGATAAATTTTTTAGAAATTACTGAAGTTAAATTGGTTGATGATCACATATCATATATTAAACGAATAAAAAAAAGATATTACACTTTATATGAAATAACTTCATCATCCTCTATTATTTTTTAAAGTATATATACTTAAATAATAAATTTTATATATCAATATATTATATGTATTTATATAAAGTATCATATTACAATAAGAATATTTATATAGGAAAGGATTTAAATCAGAATACCCCTGTTTCACGAAGATGTGAGAATACTTTTCGATCTTTAAATTAATTAATATAATAAAAATTAGAATATTCTTTTTTATTTTGACTTAAAATGATAAAAGAAATGTGTGAGACTATTGATTATAATAAAAAGGTGTATAAGAGGGATTGTTCGGTCATAAATATATCAATTTATACCCTACACGTATTTTCATATGCACCACACAAACGCGGTATTATTACCAAGGTTTATATATATTATTGTGGATACTTTTATAATTTGATTACATTTTTTGTAATGTACTTGTTTGCAACTTTGTCCAAAAACTCTCCTCGAAACCCCTTTTCTCCCAACCAACATTGCACAAAGAGTAACAGTAGTCGCTAGTATTGTGACAACTTCTTCTATAGGCGAATCCGATTGAATTTTTTAATTTTTCATTTGACTTAATCGAGTTTTTTCGATCCGCCTAAGATTATTTTTTTCATTGTTGGGTTTCTTGTTACAGAAAAAAAAAGTTTTAATCGTTTTATGTAAAATCAAGATATGGTATGACAGGAAAAATGACTGAAACTCACGTGACTAATCATTTAATATATATATATTGTTTTTTAAATAATATATAGGGAGTGTTATGTAAATAATAATAATTGATAATAATTATCTAATAATATTAAAAAATATATAATGAATGT